TGAGGCAATTCACTCCACCAGAAACTTGGAAACTGCATGCAGTACATCTTGGAATTCGCACCGAAATTTTCAGTACAAACATTTCAGATAATTTGGGTGTCAATCAGACGACACTTATCCATAAGACGTTTGACACGTGAGAAAGGAGTTTCAGCTATGACAATCCAAAGAGCAGTTAAACAAAAATACTTGAAAATGAAATTGTATGTGAAAGGTGTGAGGCACCTTATTATTTCCGGACAGAAAGTTAAAATTTAGAGAGGACGAAGATCATCTTGAATAAGTTGATAAATTATCTTGGAATTGGAATATATATATATATATATATATATATATATATATATGAAATTTATTTCAATCCTTCATCAGCTTCCAATACTTAGCTATGATTAATCAATGATGAACATATTATTTTTCATCACAATTTTTCTTTTAAGCTTGAAGTGTAAATATACATTCTTATTGCTCAAAGTAGAATCGAATAGTTTTATAAAAAACCTAGGAGAATTCCACTAAGATATCTTTAATCATTTCTAAGATACAATGGTTCAAACCTTAATCTAAGAATTGAACAATTTTGCTTTTACTCGATTTAGACAATTTTGCTGTTGCACACGGTATATGGCAAAAGGAATTTACAAATAATATATATGTGTGTGTGTATACAGGGATGTGACCATCTGTTGCTTCTTTCCGTCGCCTTTATATACTTTGGCTATCGATTGAAACACATGTAAACACGCGCCTATATATCTATATCTGTATGTGTTCGGGTGCTTCTGAATGCGTATCTGAGAAAGGGTACCATATACGGGGGGGGGAATATATATTCGTACACATGAAAAATTGTATTTTTCATAAATGTAAAAGCTTTAACTAAAACAAATTTTGATACATTTTATGTGTAAAGATAAATTTTATTAAAAAATAGTAATAAATTTAATTCTTATTCTAACAGAAATTAATGCATTTTTTTTTTCATTTTAACTGATGAAAAAAGTATTCTTACAAAACAAAAAAAAAAAGCTTATTAACTTAATTTAATACTTTGTGGAATATTCTTTATTGAGTTCAACAGCTACCAGTCTATTCCTGTACGTCTCAACTAATGATTTGCACACATTGAGTGGTATTTTGCCCCATTTTTCTTAGCATATTGTTTTCAAATTCTTGATATTTGTTGGTGCTCTTTTCCCAATATGAATTTTCAAATATCGCCATAAATTCTCGATTGGGCTCAAGTCTGGGGACTGACATGGCCATTGCAAGACATCAACATTACTTTCAGCTAACCATTTCCTTGTAGATCTAGCGGTATGCTTAGGCTCATTATCCAGTTGGAAAACCCAATCAGGAGGTAGCCGAAGACTCTCAACAGAACGCATTAAATTATCTTACTGGACTTTCTGGTATCTTTCGGCTTTCATCTTGCCATCTATTATTGATATTCTGCCAACACCTTTTGCAGAAAAACAGCCCCAGATCATGATACTGCCATACCAAACTTTACAGTTGGCAACGTGTTCTTTGGTAAGTAGGCTTCACCGTCCTTCCTCCACACATGATTTCGATAATTATGACCAAACAACTCTATTTTAGTTTCATCTGTCCATAGTACTTTTTCCCAAAACGAATATTCTTTATCCTTATGCTCTCTAACGAATTTTAGCCTAGCATCTCTGTGTCGTTTCAAGAGGAGTGGAGTCTTCCTTGGGATGCGTGATTTCAGACTGTTTTTGTGTAGTTCATTACTTATTGTACGCTTGGTTATTTTAATCCCTAATGCATGCAGATGTTCCTGCAGCTCTTCTCGGGTAACCTGTGGATTTTGTTGGATCTGGCGTCCTAATATCCTTGCTGATGTTAGAGAAATTTTACTCGGAGTACCTGTTCGTCTTTGGTTTTCGACGCTGTTACGCGTTTTAAACCTTGCAATGAACGAAGCAATTGTAGTAAAAGGAATATTCAGGTTGTTAGAAATCGTTCTGAAACTGTTCCCATCTTTCCAAAGAGACAAAATGTGTTGTTTTTGTGAAATAGTCAATTCTTTACCTTTAGGCATTATTAGAACCTTCTCGTAAGACTAGAAATTGCAGAATGCTCTAATAATGGCTAATAGCGTAAACTATAATTACTGATAACATTACTGCAACATTCTAGAATATACTTTTTTTCATAATTGATTATTTTATTCTAATAATTGATTTGTACGAATACATTTTTCACCAGTTAGAATTTTTAAAAAATGCATTAATTTCTGTTAGAATAAGAATTAATTAAGTTTATTATTATTTTTAATAGTATGTGTCTTTATAGATAAAATGTGCCGAGATTTGTTTTATTTAAGGCTTTTACATTTATAAAAATACAATTTTTCAACTGTACGAATATTTATTTCCCCCCCCCACACACACACACACTGTATGCGCGTCTTCGTGCGTGCGTGTCCTTGACTTTTGAACCGCTGTTACTTGCGTCTCCTTCATTTTATCCGGAGCATTTCCCGACAGAAGTTTGTTCTTGTATTGAAACACTGCAGGTTGAGATGAAAAGTAAAACTTACTAAGTAAATAAATAAATAAAACTGCCTTTTACGCATAAACATTTCTTGCAGGGAACACATTTTTAAGCATTTTGCCATTGTTATGCATATAAGTAATTTCTAGTGTTCCTTCATTGTCTTTCTTCCATTTTTTTTGTTCTATTGGAAATATATGTTCCCAGAAAAAGGATTTTAATACGAGTAAATATAAAAAATTTATTTCTATATACTTCATTTTTCTTTTTTCTTTTTCTGCTTTTTCTTATTTTTCATCCATTGCTTCTGATTGTCTATCAGACAATGGATACAGATAGATCAATAAATAGATAGATATAACGATACACACACACACACACACATATATATATATATATATATATATATATATATATATATATATATATATATATATATATATATATATATATTATTTTAGAGATCCATTTTATTTGTGAGAAAATGTACTTTATATTGCCGTTATAAAGTTTTAATGACAACTTTTCTATCTATCTATCTATCTATCAGTGTCATTTCATCATCAATCTATCTAGCTAGCTATCTATATGAATATTTTCATAATCTATTTGATTCTTTTCACATCTATTTGTATGTCTATCTATCTATGCAATCTTTCTTCATTATTTATCTCTATATCTGAGTCTTTCCATTATGTATCTATACGTATATATATAAACCCGAATTTTTTTCATTATACATACATACATACATATATATATATATATATATATATATATATATATATATATATATATATATATATATATATATATATGTATATATATCTTATCTATCTATCTATCTGAGTCTTTACATTATATGTCTGTATATTTGTGCCTTCAAATCTATATCTCTATTTCAGTTTATTCAAATCTCTAATATACTATCTATGTCTATCTATTTGATTCCCTTCAAATCTATCTATCTTTTTGAGCCTTTTCAAATCTATTTGCGTCACTTAAAATATATGTATTTGAGTCTCTTCAAATCTGTCTTTTTGGGGGTCTTCAAATCTTTCTGTCTATTTGTCTCTTCGAATCTATCTATATATTTGAGTCTTATTCTATCTAGCTGAAAATTTATCTAATTTTGTCAGCTCATATTATCAATGTATTTATTTATTTATATACATGAGTTACTCGTTTGACATTATTACTCAAAAATTATTTATATTTCTAGGTCACTAGCTAAATCAATCTATTTATACGTGTCTATTTGTTTCTTTATTTATCCGAATCTTATTTTATTTATGTCTATCACTCTGTCTATAACCTAATATGACTGTATTTATCTATTTTTATTACTTTTCTATATGCTTAGCAATTATTCATTCATCTATCGTGATGCAGGATGTACGACAATGCTTATTTACTCTCATTCTTTATTTCTTCAATTACTTTTTTTCTTTATTTCGCCGTTTGTTTGTTTACTTAATTTGTTTGTCGTTCTTTTTTTTCTCTTCGCTCTTTTATTTCTTTCTTTCCTTCTTTTTTTCTTTCTACCAATTTTCGTGCTTTCTTTCTTCCATTCTTTATTTGTATCGCACTTTCTTTCGTTCTTTTTTTTTCCTTTGTTTTTTCTTTCTAAATTTGTTTTTCTTCCAGTCTTTCTCTGTATCGCACTTTTTTCTTTCTTTTCTTTTTTCTTTCTACCAATTTTCGTGCTTTCTTTCTTTTTCTTTCTTTGTATCACACTTTCTTTCCTTCTTTTTTTTCTTCTTTTTTCTTTCTACCAATTTTTCGTGCTTTCTTTCTTTCAGTCTTTCTTCTTTCTTTCTTTCCTTCTTTCTTTCCTTCTTTTTTCTTTCTACCAATTTTCGTGCTTTCTTTCTTTCAGTCTTTCTTTGTATCTCTTTTCTTTCCTTCTTTCTTTCCTTCTTTTTCTTTCTTCTACCAATTTTCGTGCTTTCTTTCTTTCAGTCTTTCTTTTGTATCACCTTTTTTCCTTCTTTCTTTCCTTCTTTTTTTTTTCTGCAATTTTCGTGCTTTCTTTCTTTCAGTCTTTCTTTGTATCACACTTTCTTTCTTTCCTTCTTTCTTTCCTTCTTTTTTTTCTTTCTACAATTTTCGTGCTTTCTTTCTTTCAGTCTTTCTTTGTATCTCACTTTCTTTCCTTCTTTCTTTCCTTCTTTTTCTTTCTACCAATTTTCGTTTTCTTTATTTTAGTCTTTTTATCTTTCTTTCCTTCTTTCTTTCCTTCTTTTTTTTCTTTCTACCAATTTTCGTGCTTTCTTTCTTTCAGACTTTCTTTGTATCACACCTTTCTTTCTTTCCTTCTTTCTTTCCTTCTTTTTCTTTTCAGTTTTCTTTCCTTCTTTCTTTCCTTCTTTTTCTTTCTACCAATTTTCATGAATTTTTTTCCAGTCTTTCTCTGTATCGCACTTTCTTTTGTTCTTTCTTTCCTTCTTTTTCTTTTTCTACCAATTTTTCGTGCTTTCTTTCTTTTTCTCATTCTTTGTATCACACTTTCTTTCCTTCTTTCTTTCCTTCTTTTTTTTCTTTCTACCAATTTTCGTGCTTTCTTTCTTTCAGTCTTTCTTTGTATCACACTTCTTTCTTTCCTTCTTTTCTTTCCTTCTTTTTTCTTTCTACCAATTTTCGTTTTCTTTTCTTTCAGTCTTTCTCTGTATCGCACTTTTCTTTCCTTCTTTCTTTCCTTCTTTTTTCTTTCTTTTTCAGTCTTTTCTTTCAGTCTTTCTTTATAAAACACTTTCTTTCCTTCTTTCTTTCCTTCTTTTTTTTCTTTCTTTCTTTCTTTCTACCACTTTCGTGCTTTCTTTCTTTCAGTCTTTCTTTTTTCTTTCCTTCTTTCTTTCCTTCTTTTTTCTTTCTACCAATTTTCGTGCTTTCTTTCTTTCAGTCTTTCTTTGTATCACACTTTCTTTCTTTCCTTCTTTCTTTCCTTCTTTTTCTTTCTACCAATTTTCGTGCTTTCTTTCTTTCAGTCTTTCTTTGTATCACACTTTTTCTTTCCTTCTTTCTTTTTACTTCTTTTTTTTTCTACCAATTTTTCGTGCTTTCTTTCTTTCAGTCTTTCTTTGTATCACACTTTCTTTCTTTCCTTCTTTCTTTTCCTTCTTTTTTCTTTCCTTTTTCGTGCTTTCTTTCTTTCAGTCTTTCTTTGTATCACACTTTCTTTCCTTCTTTCTTTCCTTCTTTTTTCTTTCTACCAATTTTCGTGCTTTCTTTCTTTCAGTCTTTCTTTGTATCACACTTTCTTTCCTTCTTTCTTTCCTTCTTTTTTCTTTCTTTTTCGTTTTCTTTCTTTCAGTTTTTTCTTTCCATTGTATCACACTTTCTTTCCTTCTTTCTTTCCTTCTTTTTTTCTTTCTACCAATTTTCGTGCTTTCTTTCTTTCAGTCTTTCTTTTTTTATCACACTTTCTTTCCTTCCTTTTTCTTTCCTACTTTTTTCTTTCTACCAATTTTCGTGCTTTCTTTATTTCAGTCTTTCTTTGTATCACACTTTCTTTCTTTCCTTCTTTCTTTCCTTTTTTTTCTTTCTACCAATTTTCGTGCTTTCTTTCTTTCTTTGTATCCACACTTTCTTTCTTTTTCTTTCTTTCCTTCTTTTTTTTTCTTTCTACCAATTTTCGTGCTTTCTTTCTTTCAGTTTTCTTTGTGCACCTTTCTTTCCTTCTTTCTTTCTTTTTTTCTTTTTTTTCTTTCTTTCTTTCAGTCTTTTCTTTGTACACTTTCTTTCCTTCTTTTCTTTCCTTCTTTTCTTTCTACCAATTTTCGTGCTTTCTTTCTTTCTTTTCTTTGTATCACACTTTCTTTTTCTTTCTTTCTACCAATTTTCGTGCTTTCTTTCTTTCAGTCTTTCTTTTGTATCACACTTTCTTTCTTTCCTTCTTTCTTTCCTTCTTTTTTTTCTTTCTACCAATTTTTCGTTTCCTTTCTTTCTTTCAGTTTTCTTTGTATCACACTTTTTTCTTTCCTTCTTTCTTTCCTTCTTTTTTCTTTCTACCAATTTTCGTGCTTTCTTTCTTTCAGTCTTTCTTTGTATCACACTTTCTTTCCTTCCTTTCCTTCTTTTTTCTTTCTTTTTCTTTTCTTTCTTTCAGTCTTTCTTTGTATCATTTCTTTCTTTTCTTCTTCTTTTCCTTCTTTTTCTTTTGTATCACCAATTTTTCGTGCTTTTCTTTCTTTCAGTCTTTCTTTGTATCACACTTTCTTTCTTTCCTTCTTTCTTTCCTTCTTTTTTCTTTCTACCAATTTTCGTGCTTTCTTTCTTTCAGTCTTTCTTTGTATCACACTTTCTTTCTTTCCTTCTTTCTTTCCTTCTTTTTTCTTTCTACCAATTTTCGTGCTTTCTTTCTTTCAGTCTTTCTTTGTATCACACTTTCTTTCTTTCCTTCTTTCTTTCCTTCTTTTTTTTTCACCAATTTTTCGTGCTTTCATTCTTTCAGTCTTTCTTTGTATCACACTTTTCTTTCCTTCTTTTCTTTCCTTTTTTTTTTTTTCTTTCTACCAATTTTCTGCTTTCTTTCCTTCAGTCTTTCTTTGTATCACACTTTCTTTCCTTCTTTCTCTTTCTCTTTATTTCTTTTCGTGCTTTCTTTATTTTCCTTCTTTCTTTGTATCACACTTTCTTTTCTTTCCTTCTTTTGTTCCTTCTTTTTCTTTCTTTCTTTTCTTTCTTTTCTTTCTTTCAGTCTTTTCTTTGTATCACACTTTCTTTCCTTCTTTCTTTCCTTCTTTTTCTTTCTACCAATTTTCTTTTCTTTCTTTCAGTCTTTCTTTGTATCACATTTTCTTTCCTTTTTCTTTCCTTCTTTTTCTTTCTACCAATTTCGTGCTTTTCTTTCTTTCCAGTTTTTCTTTGTATCACACTTTCTTTCCTTCTTTTCTTTTTCTTTTTTCTTTTCTACCAATTTTCGTGCTTTCTTTCTTTCAGTCTTTTCTTTGTATCACACTTTCTTTCCTTCTTTCTTTCCTTCTTTTTTTTCTTTCTACCAATTTTCGTGCTTTCTTTCTTTCAGTCTTTCTTTGTATCACACTTTCTTTCCTTCTTTCTTTTCCTTCTTTTTTTTCTACCAATTTTTCGTGCTTTTTTCTTTCAGTCTTTCTTTGTATCACACTTTCTTTCTTTCCTTCTTTCTTTCCTTCTTTTTCTTTCTACCAATTTTTCGTGCTTTTCTTTCTTTCAGTCTTTCTTTGTATCACACTTTCTTTCCCTTCTTTCTTTCCTTCTTTTTTCTTTCTACCAATTTTCGTGCTTTTTTCTTTCAGTCTTTCTTTGTATCACACTTTCTTTCTTTCTTTTTCTTTCCTTCTTTTTCTTTCTGTTTTCGTGCTTTCTTTCTTTTCAGTCTTTCTTTGTATCACACTTTCTTTCCTTCTTTCTTTTCTTCTTTTTCTTTCTACCAATTTTCGTGCTTTCTTTCTTTGTATCACACTTTCTTTCCTTCTTTCTTTCCTTCTTTTTTCTTTCTACCAATTTTCGTGCTTTCTTTCTTTCAGTCTTTCTTTGTATCACACTTTCTTTCGTTCTTTCTTTCCTTCTTTTTTCTTTCTACCAATTTTCGTGCTTTCTTTCTTTCCAGTTTTCTTTCTTTCTTTTCTTTCTTCTTTCTTTCCTTCTTTTTCTTTCTACTAATTTTCGTGCTTTCCTTCTTTCAGTCTTTCTTTGTATCACACTTTCTTTCTTTCCTTCTTTTCTTTCCTTCTTTTTTCTTTCTTTCGTGCTTTCTTTCTTTCTCTTTCTTTGTATCACACTTTCTTTCTTTTCTTCTTTCTTTCCTTCTTTTTTTCTTTTCTACCAATTTTTCGTGCTTTCTTTCTTTCAGTCTTTCTTTGTATCACACTTTCTTTCCTTCTTTCTTTCCTTTTTTTCTTTCTACCAATTTTCGTGCTTTCTTTCTTTCAGTCTTTCTTTGTATCACACTTTTTTCTTTCCTTCTTTTTCTTTTCTTTTTTCTTTTCTTTGTTTTCGTTTTCTTTTTCTTTCAGTCTTTCTTTTTTCGTTTTTCGTGCTTTCTTTCTTTCAGTCTTTCTTTGTATCACACTTTCTTTCCTTCTTTCTTTCCTTCTTTTTTCTTTCTACCAATTTTCGTGCTTTCTTTCTTTCAGTCTTTCTTTGTATCACACTTTCTTTTCCTTCTTTTTTCCTTCTTTTTTCTTTCTACCAATTTTCGTGCTTTTCTTTCTTTCAGTCTTTCTTTGTATCACACTTTTTCTTTCTTTCTTTTCTTTCCTACTTTTTTTCTTTCTTTTTCCTTTCTTTTTTCAGTCTTTCTTTGTATCACACTTTTCTTTCCTTTCTTCTTTCTTTCTTTTTTTTTTTCTTTCAATTTTCGTGTTTCTTTCTTTCAGTCTTTCTTTTATCACACTTTCTTTCCTTCTTTTCTTTCCTTCTTTTTTTCTTTCTACCAATTTTCGTGCTTTCTTTCTTTCAGTCTTTCATTGTATCACACTTTCTTTCCTTCTTTCTTTCCTTCTTTTTTTCTTTCCAGTTTTCGTTTTCTTTCTTTCAGTCTTTCTTTGTATCACACTTTCTTTCCTTCTTTCTTTCCTTCTTTTTTCTTTTCTACCTTTTCGTGCTTTCTTTTCTTTCAGTCTTTCTTTGTATCATTTTTTCCTTCTTTCTTTCCTACTTTTTTTCTTTCTACCAATTTTTCATTCTTTCTTTGTTCAGTCTTTCTTTGTATCACACTTTCTTTCTTTCCTTCTTTCTTTCCTTCTTTTTTCTTTTTTTTCGTTTTCTTTCTTTCAGTTTTCTTTGTATCTTTCTTTCTTTCTTTCTTTCCTTCTTTTTCTTTCTACCAATTTTCGTTTTCTTTCTTTCCTTCTTTTTCTTTCTTTCCTTCTTTTTTCTTTCTTTTTTCGTTACTTTCTTTCTTTCAGTCTTTCTTTGTATTTTCTTTCCTTTTTCTTTTCCTTCTTTTTTTTTCTTTCTACCAATTTTCGTTTTCTTTCTTTCAGTCTTTCTTTGTATCACACTTTCTTTCCTTCTCTTTTCCTTCTTTTTTCTTTTACCAATTTTCGTTTTCTTTCTTTCAGTCTTTCTTTGTATCACTTTTTTCTTTCTTTCCTTCTTTCTTCCTTTTTTTCTTTTCTACCAATTTTCGTGTTTTCTTTCTTTCAGTCTTTCTTTGTATCACACTCTTTCCTTCTTTCTTTCCTTTTTTTTTTTTCTACCAATTTTCGTGCTTTTTTCTTTCTGTCTTTCTTTGTATCACATTTTTCTTTCTTTCCTTCTTTTTCTTTCTACCAATTTTTCGTGCTTTTTCTTTCTTTCAGTCTTTCTTTGTATCACACTTTCTTTCCTTCTTTCTTTTCCTTCTTTTTTTCTTTCTTTTTCGTGCTTTCTTTATTTTCAGTTTTCTTTGTATCTTTCTTTTTTCCTTTTTTCTTTCCTTCTTTTTTTTTTTCGTTTTCGTGCTTTCTTTCTTTCAGTCTTTCTTTGTATCACACTTTCTTTCTTTCCTTCTTTCTTTCCTTCTTTTTTCTTTCTACCAATTTTCGTGCTTTCTTTCTTTCAGTCTTTCTTTGTATCACACTTTCTTTCCTTCTTTCTTTCCTTCTTTTTTCTTTCTACCAATTTTCGTGCTTTCTTTCTTTCAGTCTTTCTTTGTATCACACTTTCTTTCTTTCCTTCTTTCTTTCCTTCTTTTTTCTTTCTACCAATTTTCGTGCTTTCTTTCTTTCAGTCTTTCTTTGTATCACACTTTCTTTCCTTCTTTCTTTCCTTCTTTTTTCTTTCTACCAATTTTCGTGCTTTCTTTCTTTCAGTCTTTCTTTGTATCACACTTCTTTTTCTTTCTTTTTTTTTCTTTCTACCAATTTTCGTGCTTTCTTTCTTTCAGTCTTTCTTTGTATCACACTTTCTTTCCTTCTTTCTTTCCTTCTTTTTTCTTTCTACCAATTTTCGTGCTTTCTTTCTTTCAGTCTTTCTTTGTATCACACTTTCTTTCCTTCTTTCTTTCCTTCTTTTTTCTTTCTACCAATTTTCGTGCTTTCTTTTTTTCTTTCTTTCACACTTTCTTTCCTTCTTTTTCTTTCTTCTTTTTCTTTCTACCAATTTTCGTGCTTTCTTTCTTTCAGTCTTTCTTTGTATCACACTTTCTTTCGTTCTTTCTTTCATTTTTTCTTTCTACCAAATTTCGTTTATTTTTTCTTCCATTCTTTCGTTGTATTGCACTTTCTTTTGTTCTTTCTTTCGATCTTTACTTCTTTTTCCTTTCTGCGATCCTAAACTCTTTTCTCTCACTGCTGATGGTTACTGTTAATAATTTGTTCGGATAAAAAGAACATGTACGATTCTCATGCAATGTCACTGGCTGTAAAGAGAAAAACAGACGAGAAAATATGATCGTTAAGTCGTCACGTATTTCTACATTCTCTAAACTTTAGATTCACCATCAACATAAGTTCATTTGTTCCGATCAGTATAACAATTCATAAATGGTAGAAAATTGTGAAACAAAGAAAACTGAAAAAACTGAATATTATGAAACAGTGAATCTGAAAAATTAAAAAAAAAAATATTCGGGAAGCGGGGAAACCTAGATTTCTTTAAACGTAGAATCGAAAATTTCCTTCTCTTTCTATGTGCCGTGTCCTTTTCAGGACGTAGGTGATCTTGGCTCCCCCCTCTATCCCTTGCAGCTCTCAACAAGTTCCTTCCGTCTGCTTCCTCCCCCAGACCACGTTCTGTCAACCACTTGCTTAAAGCCCCTTGGTATGTCATGCGTTGTTTTTGCTTGTTTCTCTTTCCTTCTATTCGACCCGTGAGTATCGGATTCTCCAGGCCTTCCTATCTCATTATGCGTCCCAGGAAATTCATCTGCCTCTTCCTGATGCTAAGTAATTTACTTATCTTCGAAAATAAACATGATTACAATAGTTTATTAATAATATTACAATAAATGTAAGTTATTTAGAGACATTCGGCATTCATGGAACGAACTGCCTGTGCTAACGTTGTTTGAAATTTATAAAACTCTTTCTATTAAAACAGTTGTCCAGGAAAATTAGTTTCTCAAGTTCACTCTTTTGGTTCCTTCTAGTATTGCTAGGAACTTTCTTCCTAAAGTTTTATTTGAAGTAATGGTAAAGTCAACATCTACATTATGCCATTATTTTCTCTTTGAGTTGATTATGATATTCAATTCAGTTGTTCATATTTGTTATATAGGAATAAAGTGATCGCTATTTCTATTCTATCTTCTATACTATACGGATCTCCATTTCTAGTCTATCCTCTATTACTATACGGATCGCTATTCTTTACTTTTTCTCTATTCGGATCACTATACGGATTACTATTCGAGTATTATCGAGCAAGTACTATAAGTGCAAGTGTTATTCGAAGGCGTCTGACACCAGCATTGTCCAACGGCGTTGCTATAGTTGTATCTGCGATTACAAAGTCTCTTCTACAACGAGCATTACGAAAGTGACAACGAGTAGTCTTTGACATCACGAAATTAGCAACGAATGTTCGTTGACATCACAAAAATATTCCTAAAAGTTTTCAAGTGATGTGCTTCCTTTGATTTGTTACAGTTCTTTATTTGTAATCTTGCTCACGCTATTCTAAGATGTATGGTCCTTTCCGAATTCTACATTTCGCCATTTTTATTCATTGATCTGAAAGTTTTGGGCGGCATACATGGAAAGTGTTGATCTGACAAAACTATTTAAGAATGATATGTCCCGGAAAGGGATATATTTGAACGAAGTAGCTAAATGGTTTTGGCTACTATAACCAAGTAAAATACGGTAGCAGTAATCGACTGGTACGCGTCGTAGTCACAAGTAAGAAATGTAGATCAATGGCGTAGTCCAATGGGCGTCGTTATAGACATAGCTATCAGACTAAGGCTCTTTCTCTCTGCTACACGTCCGTCGGTATTTATGACGGACACCAGCCAATCATATTCCAGTGAGTGGGGAACACAGGTGTATGCATATTGCATTATATCAAAGAACATGACTGTAGTTTTTAGTTTAATGTTTTGTAGCATTCTGTAGTGTATGTGTTATTTTTTACAATAATTTTCAGTCTATACAAGCCACTCGAGTGTTACAGCGTAAGACGGAAGAGACACAGTTTATGAGAATGAGGGAATTTGATGACGGTTAACCTTAGATTTGAACAAGTTGAGATTGTAGGGATCGGGGAAGTAACGACGGTTCCGCATTAAGCAGTTCGTGGGCAAAAGAAGCTGTTCGAGTGGAACTTATATATTATCAATTAAATACGAATCGAATGAGGTTAGTCCGCTACTATGTGCGGAGCATGGCGGATCTTAGCTACGAACGTTAGAACTGAGTGAAATTAAGAAATCTAGCCAGAAGTTTGTAAGGTTTCATCTCTCAGAAAGCGGTGTAAAACAAGTCATCACCCACAAGACAGCCTAGGCTTTGAATTCTAAGTGAATATTGAGCAGCTCCTGCCCATATATGCCAGCATTACACCATTCTCAGCCTCACCTATCACTTGTAAATGTAGGTGATAGCAGGAGAGATCAAGTACTTCCTACAGCCGTACAGGGAATCGATCATTTTCAAAGCATCTTTAGCGATCGATCGTCATGAGTTCCATTAAGTCTGTTGTGAACTTAAGAGCCAATAGACGCTAAAGATACGGGCCCTCCCCGTGCGAACATCAGCTCATCGCGACAGATGAAAATTTAGGGTCCGCTAGTGGTTGATGGAACGACATTTTTTTTTTCTGGCAGTGAATGTTACAAGCCAGTTTTTCTCGCACGCTTAAAGCTAAGTCAGATGGATGTTATACACGTCTTTTAAGAAGAGTGCTTAATCTCTCATGGCGAAACCACCCAACTCTAGAAATGATATATGGTGACTTGCCAAGAGTATCAACTTTAGTTTGTAAGAGACGTGTCCAGTTCGCCGGGCATTGTGCACGTGCCACAGATGAACTTTTGTCATCATCTGTACTCTGGAGGCACCCATCATCTGTCAATCGATCACGCAAGTTAACCATTCCAGATAGGATAAAACGTGACACATTGATTCCTAAGGAAGATCTTTTAGGTGCTATGACAGATAGAGAGTACTGGAGATGTGTAGTGAGTTCAATCTCGGCTGAGGCCGCAAGATGATGATGATGAATGGTAAGTCAGCTTACTGGATCTACTTTTTTGAGGTACCCCCATATACGGTTGTATCGTCAGCAAAGGAGTCCACAAAAGATCGGAATATACTTTTAGGCAGGTCATTAATGTAACATTGTACATAAAATATACAGAGTTGGGCGGAGAAGCCCGAAGGGGACGCCTGATTGTTGGCCAGAACTAACCCCGTGAAAATGTACATGTTCCCTAAAGAGTTGGACCGAGAAGCGCCAATCGGAACCCTGATGTGTTGGGTAGAACTAACCCCGTGAAAATGTACATGTTCCCTAAAGAGTTGGACCGAGAATCGCGAAATTGACCCCTAGCTTGTTGTACAGAAGTATCCGAGTGAAGTTGTACATGTAGTGTAAGGAGTTCCGAGAAGCGCAAAAAGAACCCCTGGCTTGTTGTACAGAACTACCCCTGTAAACTTGTACATGTAACATACACATTTGAACCATATGAATCTATGAGAATAGATTAGGTGACTGCAATGTTGTTGGACAGATATACCCCTCGAAGGTCGTGCATGTAGCGTAGAGTTGAACCAAGAAGCGAGAAACGAAAGCCTGCATTGTTGGACAGAGCTTTCCCTGTAAAATTTTATATGTAACGTACAGAATTGGACCGAGAAGCGATAAGGGTACGCCTTCTTTGTTAAACAAAACTAACCATAGCTCTGCCTAATCTATATGATGATCTTTTAATACGTGACATTTCCATTCTCCATGCTGCATTGCTTCCTATGTCTACGCATATGCTCTCTATATATATTTGTATGAGGAGGAGTTTCTTTAATTTACCTTTTTTTTTGCTGTTATTTTATTTGTCATCAAATTTCTCCGTAACGTTCATTATTCCTCTTACATAAAAGGAATTCATATTGCAGTCTTTCATCAAAGACATCATAGGATTCGTTCTTTCTTTTCCTCCTAAGAGACACATGTTAATGGAACTCGCTGACGTGAAAGCTTACCTAAAAAAAAGTTTGCCTACCCTGTCACTCTGTCTTTCTATCTCTCTCTCTCTCTCTCTCTCCTCTCTCCCACACACACAGAGAGAGACTCACACAGGCTGACCCATTAACACACATTGATTCTCGCACACTCATTCTTGTTCACACAGATTATTTCTTCCTCGCATACACAGTCTCTCTTACACACGCACTCTTCACCAAACACCACTCTCTCTTTCACACACATGCTCTCTCTTTCTTTCCTTCTTTCTTTCCTTCTTTCTTTCCTTCTTTCTTTCTTTCTTTCTCTCTCTCTCTCTCTCTCTCTCTCTCTCTCTCTCTCTCACACACACACACACACATACATTCATGTATGGTATCTCTCGCACGCGTGTAGGCTTATTTTGCATCACACAAACAAGATCGCTCTCATACACAATTCAGAAAATACATCTACACACGCACTTTCACTTTCTCACACCTTCTTTCACACACACTTTCTTACACAATCTATCTCTCGCACACACAATTCAGAAAGTACACACACAACCTCTCACACAATCTCGCTCTCACACACAAATAATAAATCGACACACACTCTCCTTCTCACACACGCACACTCTCACTTACACACCATTTCAAACACGCAATCTCTCACTTACGCACGCACTCTCACATACACGTAAACACACATGTTTCTTCTTTTTGTTTACTTATCTCCCATCAATTGACGCATCAAAATGGTGTTGTTGCGTGTCATATGTGATTAAAAAAACGACACAGAAGACACCGCACCTTCTCGAACATTCTGTTATTCTCTGTCTTCCGGTAATGGCCTCGAGTGAAGGCCTCTCTTGAGACATGAACAAACCTAGAAAGAATTTTACTTGACCGATTCCTTCAGGCGGATAATTCTATATTAGCCGAAGTTTTAACACATTCCTTTTAATAAAACCTTTCATTTGTCAATTACAACGAAGCTAAGTGTAAGTATTAATTAAAAAAACTAACTTATTGAAATGCTAGGAAGTATCCTCACCATGAACCTCAAACTGTCGTCCTTGTGACATACTAACCTTAGTAAATGTTTAACGCTCTCCTAACACGAAGTAAATTGTTTTTTTCAAAAAACACCGACTGGAATAATATCGATCATTTCAAGCTATCACACTATGTATACTGATAATGAACTGCAAGTGTTACTAGTAGCATTTAACCCAATACTACCAGCGGCGGCTAAACCGGCTTCGACCAACCAAGTTTTTCTGGTGAGGAGAGTTGCTAGACACCAGGCAGGATTTCTTCTCTTTTGTTTTTCCAAATGCATGATCTGTCAAAGTGCGGATGTAACTTCTTATAGGGCACCTACACTATGAGTATTAGGGTACCTATCTAGACAACGATGTAGACTGGACTCTATAGATAGGTATGAGTCCAGTGCAAGGATTACATGCCATCATTTGGCGATGTCAACAGCCAGAGCGAAGGGTTCCCCTGATTGAATCATGGCCAGGTGTTCGAGATAAAGGCGAACCTTTAATTTGAAAGGTATCGATTTACTTTGACATAAAGAAAGAAAGGCTCTGCTAGGCCTAGCTGCCTAAGACACGGTACGGCTCTCAACCCGGATATGTGAATAAAACTGGGCAACAGCGTGACGACCTTAAGACCACACCCTGTTGATGTTAATGACTGTACTATACACTGCAGTTATTATGGGTGACAGGCTGCTTCAGCAAAAGATAACAAATCTGTTTTGACTATAATTGTCCAAGGGAGACCCTTATACTTGGGGGTGCGTGTTATAGTAAACTGAACTGACAAATAGAGCTTTCAGATATTCTAAAATGTTTATAATTATTATCTTGAAAGGAGTTCAAATTTCACCCCCTTCACGAATAAATCCATCTTCTCCCACCTTTGGGTTAAATAACAGATTTCGCGATCTTATGAAGCATGGAGGCAAGGTGGAATAATCTGATTGCGGCTCCGATTGAGGAATTAGGGAGCAGAGTTCGAATTCTAGTCGAGTTCTTTACATTCACGATAAGAGATAGACTCATTAATACAGACATATGCCATTGCCACAGGTATGAATTCATCTCTTCACCACCCTCCATATATAATCGCAGGCTAGACTGGATCCTATAGCCTTAGATGTCAACCGGTATAGGAGAAGGACGACCTTGAATTCAAAACGCCTAACTATGCGTAAATAGTTAGACATACTGAGTTCTACAGACTTAATAGTCAGCCAGTATGAATTCAAAACTGCATACAGCACTGGCAAAGCACATGCTATGCAACTAACGAAAGGAACGTTGACTTCACAATGACTTTGATGATGTGCATCGATTTGATAATGCGCGATGTTGCCTTGCATGACAGCTAGAAAACTATGAATTCAAACTACAAAAAATGGTTGTTAAGAAAACACATGGCACAAGTCTTCCTGCAAGTATGGAGAGGCTAGCTGTTTAATTCTAAACTAAAATTTTGATCCCGCGTTAAAAATCGTCCAGCACACATAAACACACAAAATATTTATATATATATATATATATATATATATATATATATATATATATCTTAGGCGGATTTATGAAGTAGGCATAATATCCATCTCACGCACGGTGAATACGAGACCTGGCTTCTTTAGTATTTCCCCTTTTCTAGCGAGATTAATGCTCGACAAGCGTACATATAAATTTTAGTTCAAAATAGAATTCCTTTCATTTTTCATTCAAAATACTCAAATTTTAGGAATACGTTTTCACAGCGTCGCCCACGTGATGACAACGTGACCATGTTTTAAACGGAGCGCTGATCTTATAAAACTTTCAGTTATTTGTTTGGATAAGTCTTGTTCTTATGTACATCGTCTTTGTCATGTTGTA